GTGCCACATGGCGCAGGAGGCGATCAAAAAATGCCTAGAGGCGTGCCAAGTGGCGCAGGAGGTGATCAGAAAATGGCTAGAGGCGTGCCACGTGGCATAGGAGACAATCAACGAATGGCTAGAGGCGAGCCACGTGGCACAGGAGGCGATCAACGATGTCAAGACCGACGCCTGGCGACAACTGCTGGAGAAAACCAGCAACTGGCAGAACGACACCAAGATGTGGACAATCATACAAAGCCTCCACGGTAGCCCTTAGACAAACTGGCCAAGTGAAGCAATGTTCCACAATGAGCGACTGGCGACAACAAGCAAGCATGAGGCGGACATATTGGCAGACACTACGCCAATGTCTGCGTCTAAACATGTGGAAAGAAGACGGAGCGGAAAACTGGCAACTCAAAAAGCGACTGAAATACTTACGGAACAACCCAAGGGCAGACCAGCCCGATTTCACTATCGGGGAACTGAGGAATGCCATTGACGAAGTCCCGCGGATCACCCGGACTAGACAACATCCCTCCGTCCTTCCTCCAAAACCTGGGCCCCAAAGCGCTGGAGAAACTGCTCTCCATCTTTAATTTGTCATTTCGCTCAGCAGATGTCGCACAAGTCTGGAAAGACGTCATCATTGCCCCCCTCCTCAAGACCGCCAAACCAGCATCGGAACTAACGTCGTTTCGAGAGATAATCGTCACATCCTGTGTGCTCAAAGTTAGGGAGAGAACGGTATCTGAACGACTGTACCACATAGCCCAGCGGAACGGCTACTTCTCTCCACAGCGGGCTGATTCCAGGAAGGGGAGAAGTGTGGAAGACCAAAGTCTGAGAATTACGAAGATTTCCGACGGCTTCCAGAAGAAGGAGAAATCGGTTCTCGTCCTCTTCGATTTGTCAAAGGCATACGACACTGTGTGTCGAGAACACCTACTCCACACCCTCCTAGACAGAGGTGTCCCAGATAGATACGTTTTGTGGATGAAAGACTTCCTTCCAAATCGTCAAGCCACAGCCCCATTCCACGGAATACTGAGTAATAGCAAGACAATGAGCCAGGGTCTCCCACAAGGTTCCTTGCTGGCACCCATCCTCTTCCTCTTTTCTATGGACGAACTCGCGAAACTACTTCCGGATGATCTCACAATTTCCCTCTACGCCTCCCCC